TATTTTAAATACATTAGATCTCATCCTCACAATGGCCCTGTAGATATAACTTCCTCTGCTGGGAAAAAGAGGGTAGAAGACAAATTCTCCTTGTTTTCCTTTTATTTTTCTCTGCCTTAAAAAAAAACGCAAAAAACCCCCAAAAAACCCACTGTTCACCCTTGGCTACTTTTTTCACATTTATCATGTAAAACATCTATGACTGGATGATCACCCCCTCCCCACAAGGAACAAAAACTTAAGACTTCATGTTTTCAATTCTTGAAAATATAAAAGGCATTTAGAAAACATTAAAAATAACAAAAATATTAAATAATTTCTAAATTGATTCAAGGATAGCTATATTGATATCACCATGTCCATTTTAATTGGTTCCCAATAATTCTTTGAGCCCCTAGCTAATTCTTATTGTTCATTTCTTACTTTTCTCTGACTTACTGAGGTTTTATTATAAATGCTGAGTTTTAAGGCTGTGTTTTACTGCTCTTTATCTCACCTCTGCTTCCCGCTCCCTCCACCCATTGGACAATGTCTATACAATGTAGGAAGTTCAGTCAATCTATGGAGAATCAAATTACTGATCTTAAAAATCTGACATTTATTAATAGGGGAGATAATATTTTATACAGACGTATATTGCAGAATCGGTTGATTCCTAAGAGTCCGGCTAATTCCTATAAACCAAATCATACCTTTATCCCTATGGGAGAGGGGGGAAACACTGGTCCAGATTCACACTTGTGAATGCTATAAATTTTTTAAACTCATACATTTATACAGCAAAAGAACCCCTAAGAAATAATGGTAAAAATCATTTCAAAATTAAACAACTACCATATCATAAAACATGTTCTCTTTGATCTATTATCAAAGTGAGAAGACACACCCTTGGGATTGTCTGCCTTTTGAAAAATGGGAGTCTTGCATTTTCTCTATGCTAAATATAGTGAAACCCCTTGCCTATATGATCAGATATAGATTTCTGTATTTTCAAGCTTATCTCTTCACATACTTGTGTAATTTCTAATAAAGTTATGTAAGTTCTCAATGCAGAAAGGCCCACATATAATTGGATTAAGGGTGCTTAATAATGCAATTTTGCAATGTGGTTCACTCATCCATTTGTCCATTCGTTCATTTTTTCCACCCATTCTTCAAATATGCATTAAGTGCCAACTAAGCACCTGGCAATGTTGTAGATGCTGGGAATACAGTGATGAGCCAAACATAAAAAAATCCCTGCCCTCAATGGAGCTTACATTCTAGTTCCTCAAAAGGGATCTGCAGCTAAAATATAAGTACTCAAAATCCAAGAGGAAAACTTTCTGAAAGGCTCCATCAGTCAGACACCTCAAAGGAGCAAAGGCTACAATAGTACTACATTTAACATTTGTAATGTGTCTTATTTTTATCAAAAATAAAAATCACATCATGTTAAGTTTATTAACTTCCTTGAATTTTAGTTTATATTTACTACTTCTATTTCCCTCAATTTACACTTTCTGTTTCTGATAAATTCTACCAGTTCCTTGAAGAGAGTAAAAGCAAAACAATCCTTTCAATTTCCAACCTAACTGATGATCAATAGGTATTAATCAAGTAATGGTCTTTATAAGAGCAATTTTTTATTAGAAAGGAATTGGCTTCACCATTACAGGACTGTTTGCCACAGCTGCCTCTGTAGGACTTAACCACTGACTGGAGTTTGACTGGGGATGCCAGTATTTGTAGTAATCTTAGGTATCTTCTTTCTTTCGTTACTGTACCATTAACTGAACATAAGCTTCTTAGTCAGCATGAACATGTGCTAAAGCTATCATTAGAAGCTTACAGCTCATCTTTACCTGGCATTGCTGCCAGTGCACTTACTGCTAATGCGCTCTGGACCCTTCGTCCACTGAGCTCTCGATTGCTCCTCTGCCCTTGCTTTCTCTGACCAAAATCCTTGAATTATTCTAAGTGGAATATGGCCAGGCCACCTCTGTTGTCAAGCTCAGTGGTCCTTCACCTTTTCTTGGGCTTCTCCCTCTTTATGTCACAGCCAAGAGTAATGTTTCCCACTTTCAACTGCAGAACTTTTCCACCCTCCTTCACTTTCTAACAGGACACTGTGGGAAATTGGGAAATTTATAAGTATGCCACAGAGTGATAAAGGAGGCAAAGCCAGAAATCTGGATACCAACTTTGCTCTGCACAGAAGGATACAGAAAGATCCAAGCGTATTAAAGGAAATACCACTCTGTGTATGGTTTCTGTATTTTCATTTCTATATTTATTCAACAAATATTTATTGAGTGCTTGCTAGGTTCCAAGGACTGTTATACAGTTGTTTTCTTTTAATGGGAATACACCAACACTGCTCCAACGCAGGAGTGGTAAATTTCTAATCTACAGGTCATGTTCAGTCGTTAGCTTAATTTTTTCTAGCCCAGAGAGAATGATCAAGAAATGGAATCACAGCAGGCCTTTAGAAGTCTTTCGAAGCAAGCAGACAGACTAAATCTATGACGAGAGAAGGCCTGTATCTTTCTCCTTTATTGCTGTGTATACCTGTCTCTACCTCTTTACTCTAGTTTTCTCTTCTTCATTCTGCCTCATTTCTTTAATTGGCCATTACAGGGCAATGGGATATATAGATTATCTCCTGTATTTACTAAATACATTCTCATTTTTAATTTAAAAGGCAGATCAAATTAACACTTCATATTTTTATCCTAAAACAAAAAGCCTTTTTGTTGCTTTTGTTGGGGAGAACAGGTCTACAGTCCTTGAAATTTCTTTCACAGTCTCCACTCATTAATTCAGTAAACTGAAATTCCATCTCGACAAGCATAAATATTGCATTAAAAAATAAAACAATAATAAACACTGTACTTCAAGAATCTACACAAAAAAGGAATACAATCAAAGTTTATAAGGCATAAGTGTAAAAGGTAAATAAATATTTCATGGAGAAAGTAAATAAAAATCTATCCAGATAATTATTTTGACAAAAAAAATGGAATAGAAATAAATGCATTCAAAGGAAGTTACCATTTTATCATTTTTTATACACTGAAAATAAGGATTCTCCACTCCTAAGAACCATTTTCATGCAGATTTTATCACAAAATTATTTTATATTTTCCATTTTACAATTTCTCTCTTCAATAGTTGCTATAAACTGTAAATTATTCAACACTTAATTTCCCAGGATTAAATATCTTCCTAAAAACTCTATAAATCCCCATTACATAAGAACGTCACAGTATCTTTTCTTTACCACACAAAAAAATAATTATAACTTATTCTTTATTTGGCATCTTTCTACAGAAATTACCAGGATTTAGCCTTACCAGGAAATTATACACATTATTAATACAAGTTTTAATAGACTACTGATCGGACTATTATGTTGCAAGTATTTCTAGAACATGATATCACAAATTAAGTCATTAATTCCAAAACAATAGTTTATTAACAAAAAAGTACAAAGAAGTACAAATGGACATCCTATTTCCCCCCCATTATGGTCCATCTATCTATCTCCCTTTCAGTCCATGGCACAGCCTTCTTGAGCTAAAAGAATAGGTAAAATACTTCTCTTTCCAATGGTCCTAATAACCATCCAAAACCGAATCATTATGTATTTAAGTTATACAGTCCATGTCAATTTTTTAAAAAATGTTTTATCTATATGAGTTGCCATAAAAACCTCTTCCCTTGCAATACACCATGTACCTAAACTGAATGAAACATATCAGTATCAACATCCATAAATCATGCTTACACATAGGGAATATCAGATCATTAGTACGTTTGCCTTGAAGTAACAGATCACAAATGAAAGCTTAGAAGTGTCAAAAAGGATTTTCATAGATATTTACTAAACACTTCAAGTCAAAAACATCCTGTTAACTGAACTAAACTGAGGTACATGGAAAACGTTTAGTTTAGTTGTGTTTTTTGCACTGATTTTTAAATCAAAGCTACTCACATATCTAATCTCTCTACTATTATTTCAATTTTCTCCAATAATGGTTCCTTTTCAATTTATTTCAATAAACCTACAGTTTTCCCCATACTTCTCTCTCTCTCTCTCTCCCTCTCTCTCCAAGCCCAAAGTACTTCTCTGAATCATGGTAAATTACCAATACTTTTTGGTTTTCCTCAGAGGGCTATAGATAGGAGATATAATAAATCACGTTTCAATAAATAATGCCAATTTGCTCTTTCTGCTATAATTCATCGAGACAGAACATGTGGATTAATTTACTGATGTTCCTAAAAGCCATGTGTAAAATTTATTAGATGATGTATTTTTTTGAGTGGTAAGCTCCAGCCTTTTGGTTTGTGGAGGCAGCCAGGTCAGAGCTTAACACTCTACTTTAGTCCCTGCTTAGAACTATTCTATAAAGAACATGAGTTCAGTGTTAGACTAGGCTGTAGTAACATAAGGTGCTAGACCAGTGATACATTTTTTGGGAACTGGAAAATTCAGATGACCACTCACTAAACATAAAATCATTATTCCACAAAGATTTTATTCACATCAAACTTGCACAGTAGCAAAAAAAAAAAAAAAATCAAAACATAACTAAGCCACATATCAAAGAACAATATACAATAAAGATTTGAATTTCTCAATGGCATTGGAAAGTTTTTCCATAAATAACATTTACAATTCTAGTGTTAGATCTTTCAAGGTGTCTGAAGCTTCACAGTGCTAGAATTGATTTTATCAGAACACATGCAAAAATGTGCAACATAATAATTCATATTAATGACAGAAAAAAGCACGCCAGTTATTTGTCATTCCAGCACGGCCATGCCACTCTATGTTCTAAAAACAAACAACCCCCAAATCCGGGTCCCATTCATTCTTCAATTATGCCTTTAGTCATTCTGCTTTATTATATTCAAACAGTCACTGTTAGTGCTCTTCACCACGACTTTCAGGTTGACGTCACTCCCTGCCTGCTGGCTGTCAGGACTGGGGGACGCCCCTCTCCCAGACTCACCTTCTTCCGGATGTCTTCATCATTTGCTCCTAGAGAGGCATAGAGCTTGAATGCAGCCTGACGGAGTTCATGAGCGTGTTTTAAGTCATGATCAAGCTATGGAAGGGAAAAAAAGGTATACTGCAACTCAGTCCACAAATCTAATTTTCAATAAAACTGACAACTCTTAAGATATTAATGCTCTCATTGAATTCTTAGTTATTTCTGGGTTCTGTTCACATATGACTGAGACCTTGCTATGTTTGCGTCAGCATGACCTAGAATGCATGCAGTCTGCTTCTGTCTAAAAGTGAACACCATAACATCTGACACTGGTACATGAAAAGTCTTTGTGAACCTTTGACCCTTAAAAATGCAGTGTTCCCAGATGGTAGCTTTAGTGGCACTGATGCTTGCTTGCACCAGCTCTTTGAAATGCTCTCCTCAAAAACTAGGCACTCGGGCCTTTCTAGCCCCCAGACTAGAATAGCTGATACAGTGCTGCTGCAACAGGGTCTCTAGGAGGTTTTCTTAAACACCAACAGCAGTGCTGGCCCAATTTCAGCATTTAACAAGATTTTAGAAAGAGGAAAACCTTTGTGAAAATCTTAATGAACAATATATCATGGTAGTCATTACTATGTTATCTATTATAATGATCTGAGATTTATGTTTAAGGTTATTTACTGGTATGAAACAATTAATGCTATCTTTCCACATGCATAACTGGCTAGGTTTTCAGTTCTTCTGTACACCTGATGATTTATCACTAAACTACCACAAAAATGAAACAGAAGGATGTTCTCATGACACTTTCAATGACTAAATACAAATCAGTAAATACATAAGGCATATCAATAATGTAAATAATTTTATAACTAATTCATCCAAATGACTGCCACTCCAAATGAGTTGCCTTGGAAAGGTTTGCCTTTATGCAATGATAAAAGTATTGTTTATAACATTCTGAGACCCTCTTCTGAAACTTCCTAAAGAGCTAAGTGGCATATTAGTTAGAAAACCCTAAATTCATCAACTAAGAGTTTTATTAAGTTAATTGTCACAGACTGTGGTATGTGAAGATGGGGAAATAAACCTAGCTAACATTATTTAGGGTTAACAAATAACAACAACAGGGGCACCTGGGTGGCTCAGTTGTTAAGCGTCTGTCTTCGGCTCAATTCGTGATCTCGTGTCTGGCTCCCTGTTCAGTGGGGAGTCTGCTTCTCCCCCTCCCTCTGCCCTTCCCCCCACTCGTGCTCTCTCTCCCTCTCAAAGTATTTAAAAACAAACAAACAAAAAAAGCCAAATAACAAGAACAGTAGTTCCAAAAATATTTTGATCAAAGCAGGCACTGACGGATTATGGGAGGAACTCCCCAATATACAACACTCATTTTGATGTATAAGTTCTAAAATATCTATTCTTAAAGTCTTAAGTACTTTCTAGTCATAACATATAGTAGGATATGGGCTTGGATTAACATATGCCATGAAAATCACACACTTATTAACATGTAAGACTTTCTCACTATGGGTCTAGTATCTATATTTTTATGGTCAGAAACCACTGTATAATCCATCATCAAAAATAAAGATGACAAACATATTCAGGTTTGGTATATAAGATCATTTAAAAAATATTATTATTATTCTAGTTTTACTGTGATGGAAATAAAATGAAAAAACCCTAACAGAGAGATAATCTTCTATATACTAGTTAAATGATTTACACAGATACAGGCTACAAGTTCTTACAACTATGTTTCCTCACCTCCTGTCCATCCAAGTGTCCCATTTGCCTTGCTAGGACGGTCAACTGAGGGTGTTCATGAGGCCATTGTTAGGACTTGCTCATGTATTTTTCTACCAGTGAGATACTATGTGCAAGTGGCCAGCGGGAAAACAGACAAGGTAGCTGGTTCAAAGTAACCCATCACCTGTACTGGAAGAACAATACTACTGAAGGCAGAGCAGGCACTATAATTCATAGAGGGCAGTGTACATTATTAATACCAGTAACAGTGAAGGTTACTTTGGGCCTTTTCTAAAAGAAAAAGATAAACCCTTGAGAGTTCATTTTTTCAGTGTTAAATGCCAAGTGAACAGTTGCCTGCCAAATGAAGTTTTGGGGAACTCAGGGGGCATGGGAGAGGTCAAGAGAAAAGTTAAAAAAAAAAAAACTACCATTGGGAACACTGGAATCAAAAATACAGTCACATTCATGAAACAGTACTGGTTACTAATTAGGAGGCAATGCTCTCTCTACCATGACCTCCTTTTTTTTTTTTAAGATTTTATTTATTTATTTGACAGAAAGACACAGAGAGAGGGGGAACACAAGCGGGGGGGGGGGGGGGGGGCGGGGTGGGAGAGGGAGAAGCAAGCTTCCCGCAGAGCAGGGAGCCCAACGTGGGGCTCGATCCCAGCACCCTGGGATCATGACCCGAGCCGAAGGCAGACGCTTAACGACTGAGCCACCCAGGCGCCTCTCTACCATGACCTCCTTAAATAAACTTTCTCTAATTGAATGTTGTTTTCTTATGCTTAGAGAAATGGATATGACAAATAGGCTGAGAAGAACGAAGTCAAAAGAAATATCTAACTATTCTAAGGAACTTACAGTTTGAGAAAAAGTTTGAGGAAAGCACAGTTTGGTTCTTGGTGGTCTCAAACTAGAGGTTAAATAGTGCTTTAGCTGACACTAGCAGGCCCAAAGCACAGTATAAAACTGAAGCCAGGTGAGAGAAGAAGATAACAAAAGTTAGAAAAGATAGCAAAAGAGAAAGACAGTGGTGGAGAGTCAAATAAGGCCATTCACATCACCTGTCACAGAAGATTACCTTTGACCTAAAGAACGAGAATACAGCAAGAGAGATGATTCTGGGAACCTCAACAGGATAAGATAATGTTGATATAAATACCCAGCTTAGAGACCCCACTATTTTTGGGTTTTAGTTGGGAATTAGGGATGTAATTTTCTTCCTTCCTGATTACCTGCTTAGTGAAAAATTTCTGATAATTACATGAGACAAACTGGATTCAAAAACCCATAAAACATCATCTATGTTATCAAAGGGAAAAGATTCCTTCATTTAAAAGGGCTTTGAACTATAATTATTAATTGGTTCAAAGTTGTGAGCAGTAAGAAAAACTTCTTAAAAATCCCTTACTTGAGCTGCTGAAAAGAAAACAGAACATACCCTTTTAATATCAGTGATGGCACTCACTGAGCTGGGATACTTGAAATAATCAGCAAGCATGGCAATGAGGTGATCAGTTATGCTAGCGATTCTCTGTAGCTCAACATCTGGTTCAATCAGATAGGCGAGTGTCTCAGCTCCTTCAACTCTCTCCTCTAGTAATCTCTCCTTACTGCACATTCGAACCAAACAAGGCAGTGTCTGGAAGGTAGTGAAATTAATTATTTGCTTTGTGGTAAAGGCAAAAAGCTTGATGGAGAGCATATAGTGACTAAATCAACTCAATGGTTTTTATTGGCAGTCAAGTTAGCGATCAAATGTTTCAGAGAATGAAAGGTTGTTTGGAATGTAAAAACAAAGTTCAGTGTATATTAATCATTTGTGCTGGCACAGTAAACCCTAATCATACAATCAAAGCATATTAATACAAACTCTAATCAGGCTTTTGGAATGGATAAAATTGAAACTTTATTACACAACCTTATAAAAGACATTTAAGAATCCCTAATAAATCGTGTCTGAGGTTTCTGTCCCATCTATGTATTTATTTATTTAAAAGACATCCAGCAAAGTGGCCGGTTAGCTCAGGTGGTTAGAGCGTGGTGCTGATAAAAGACATCCAGCAGTTTAATCAGGAACAACTGTGCTGTAGAAAAAGTATGCTATCTTTTCTTCAGTGAATAATATATGACTGGGATGACTTTTATTTTTGGGGTGCGATCAATACCTACAAAACCAAAATACAGCTTTAAAAATTCAGTGATCTTACCAGTACTCAGATTCCATGAGTTTTCCTATAATGTGAGTGAAATGCATCAATCATAGTTCCTAGGTTTTCTAAATCACTCCCTAGAATGACTATACCTGCTAGTTCAATTTTACTTCTGAGGTCCTTCAAAAATCTTGGTGCTGGTCTTGGTAATTTATCTACATTAGGTCTTCAATAAAAATATTCCATGTTTCTAAGGCCGATGAATCCACTTTAAACAATACCACAAAAATGGAAACCAAAATGCTATAATTATAGGAAGCCTTCCTCAATTACTGTAATCAACTGTGCTTTGCTCTTTTCTAAGTTCCTAGAGTTTAGCACTTTATTGTACACTACTGATTTCCTATCAGGCTAGTGCAGGCTTTATAATACAATCCTAGGTGTCCAAGAGCAAAGCCTTATTCTTATTTTTTCTGAACAGTTACTAACATTTATTAATACCATAAATTCATGGATTATTGAATTTAACACTCACAACTACTACATGAAGAAGATGCTATTGACCTAGTTTACCAATAAGGGAGAAGAGGAGGGGTAGAGCAGTTGAGCAAATAAACCAAGGTTACTTGCATGGAATCCCTTAGAACTCTACACAATGATGCTTACTTAGTGGGTCCTCAGTTCTAATTAATTGACTTGCTTCACCAAAGACTAAAGCAAACATTAGTCTTAATGCTCTTTTATTCTTAGGTTCATTTTGTACACTGATAATGCGAGATCTCACGATCGTAAGATGATACATAATCAATTTATTTACACTTATTTTGTTCTTTGTAGCTAATAAGATGTTTAATATATTTAATATATTGTTATCTTCAAAATGACCCTGTGGGATAGATGAACAAAAATTATTGCCTCCATTTTCATGAGGCAACAAAAGAATAAGGGAGGTGCCCAAGGTTACTCAGGTCAGTCAGGGGTGGGAGTGCTGAAACCAGAATCCAGGTCTTGTAACTTTTAGGGCCAGTCTCTTACCTGGGTTTTTCTGAGTTCTAGTTGCTTTTGACATGTCACAATGATGTTGATGGTTTTCATGTGCTATTTTTTTCTTTTTCATTATGTCTTTTGATTATCTGCCATGAGGGTGATATAAAGTCTTTGTCTACAGAGCTAATGAACTGCTTTCCTATAAAACTATGTTGCAAACTTAAAGAAAATCAAGGATTAAAATATATTTTCTAATTCATCTGAATTTTACATATTTTTACAACTTCTAGATCCTCCTACTTTCCATAAAAATAAAAAAGGTGTGACAGGAAAAGAACTACTTCACTTTGACTCTCAAGACACATCTAAAAATCATTTTTTAAAACTACATGGCATTCCATTAAAAACAAAAGCATGGTGTTTTAATATTATTTTATGCTATGCACATATACCATAGTTATAAATGTATAAAAAGAAATAAGAGAAAAAAAAGAAATGGGAATACCAATATTTATATTCAAAACTTATGGCTGGGGAACTTTTGCATGTGTTTAGAGAGAATTAATTAGCTCACCTTTAATACAATACAGTTGTCATCTGTCCGAATTGCTCCAGCTCTACACATGTAAGTTAAACTGGAATAAGACGGCAGAAAGTAAGTTTTTGCTTGTGTTTTAAAGCTTTAAAAGAAAAATTCCTTGCCTTTAGGATTTTATGGAAAAAAAAAGACAGCTACTCTTATTTATCTTGAGGGAGGTTTTCATATTACCTTTGATGAGGTTCTGCCAATTTAATACTCAAAAACAACTAACTGATATATACAACAATAATTCAGATATTTTTCAAAAATACATACAAAATTGTTTTAAAAATAAAGGCTTAATGAACAGATAAACTTTAAAGCTAGGTGCTGGGCACAATGGAGTTCCTTATAATTTTTTCTAAATTTTTCGTGTGAGAAAGTTTCCATAATAAAAAGGGGGGGGGAGTTAAAAATAAAATATAAAGTTCATATAGTGTCTAAGATTAAATCAAGCTAAGCTGAGGTAGTCTAACTCCAATAGCAATAGTACAAGTATCACAGAAAAAGCACTTAACTTTTAACTCTTAGCGGTAGCCATAAGAAATTAACTAATAACTCTTCAGAGTTCGCCAGCATAGGCTTTGACAACTGGTCAATGATTTGGTTCTACTGAAAAACAATTTGCCTTCACAATTATATCTGGCTTTGAATAAGAATAAAATTACTTGGTACTCCCTAAGCAGGTACTGAACACTTCAGAAACTTAAATTAATGAATTTCCTTTTTGGATTAGGGTCCTTTAGTTAACTGGGGGGGGGGGGGGGGGGGGTTTAAAACACTCCATAATCTGGCTTTTATAGAAACCTATTAAAAAAAAAAACAATAAAATTTTTACTTAGATTGTAGAGGATTGAATTGTTTATAGCTCTAATCATCTTAAGACTTGTTACATTTTCTTAAACCAGTTCCATGAGAGCATTTATCTTACTTAGCAAAAAGGTTTTTGAAGACAAAAAGCAAACAAGCATACAAATAATATACTCAAAAAACAAACAAAAACAATTCATTGTGCATGAGTAATTCACTGAAAATTTCTCATTCTCGCCTGAAATACTAAAAAGCCACAAATTCTTAAATACTGGAACAATTAATTTAGCAAAGAACCTTATACAACAGGTGCTCAACCTATCTATTAAATGTATTCATAATTACAGAATTGACATGTATTGAATGCTTAAATGAGCTAGGACTTGTACTAATAAATTATCTTATAAACGGTCACATCTCTATAGAAATTTTGTCTTGTTTTTCTAAAGATGAGGAAGCCATATTCTCTGAAATCATGCCTTGGTTATCAACTTCAACTAATTCTCACTCCATGATTTTCCTATCTTTATATTTTCTTAATTCTTAGCATAAATTTGTTAGTTAAATCTAATTCTATATTATTTCAACTGAAATACAAGGAGAGTACGTTGAGAATATAATAATTTTCTGTGATCGTCTTAGCTGTTATATGAGTGTTGCTGTTCTGCATGCTACTAGTAGTACACTGAGTAAAAAACTCATGCCCATTTAAGAAAATGTGAGACAACCCCATGACTTGCAAATTCCAAAATCCTAAAACAAGATGGGGATTGGAGGTGAGCTAATTAGGCTGTCCAAAAGTTCTCTAACATATTGATAAAGCGCTGCTGTTCTTCCCACATTGTCTTGACTTTTACCATTTTGCTGACGTCAGCTGCATCTCAATAGGCTTATCCCTCTGTAACATCTTCACAAAAATTTGTGGTAACAATTCTCCATCAACCAAAACTAGAAATAAAACAAACAACAAGAATTAAGGAACTCCTTAAATATACAAAGTTCATAAATTAAATCATGTAGGTGCCACTGAAAGTTCCAGCCTACCATTTACCAGGGTCATCGATACCTGGGGGTTTTCAAAAGCTAAAACTGAGAAGCATTTCAGTGCTTGCATTCGAACCTGTAACAATAAACAAAAAAATGCATTTATCTTGATTTTGCAAATATGAATTTTAATGTCTCAGATCTAAACTCTTCTGAAGAAACAACTGTTTAAATCTGCTTAAAATACTAAAAGAAGGCCTCAAGGGAATAAAAATAACACCTGAATATCTGGAGTACAGTAAGTTAAACTTAATTATAAAAAGTTAAAATTAATTTTGAAGTAACAGAAAAGAAAAAGCAGGAAGAAGTAGCAACTAAAATTTAATTAGATAAATTCCTAAGCAAATTTAAAAGAACAATGTACAAAATACAATGTTGGTAAATCAAAGAGAGCTTCATTAACACTTAATTACCAACTGCCTTTCAAGTGGGACATTTCTTCTTCCCAAAATACAAACCAGAGAACTGAAGAGAAGACAAAAAATGGGGGGGGAAAAAGTGTACTCTTATAGTTGTGTGTGGGATGGGGTTGTGTCAAAGAGAACAGAAGGAAACAAAGTTACAATAAAAATCTGGAAAGGACTAAACTAACTTAACTTTTATTTTATTTTTTAAAGGTTTATTTGAGAAAGAGAGAGGAGGGAGGATCAGAGGGAGAGGGATAGAGAGCCCCAAGCAAACTCTACGCTGAGCACAGAGCCTGATGTAGGGCTTGATCCCGTGACCCCGAAACCACAACCCGAGCCGAAACCAAGAGTCAGATGCTTTGACCAACTGTGCCACCTAGGCACCCCCTAATGTAACTTTTAAAGCACTGGGTGTTATTCACAACTAATGAATCACTGAACACTATACCAAAAACTAATGATGTACTATTCGTTGGCTAATTGAATTTAAATTAAAAAAACCAACAATAACAACGACAAAAAAAACCACTTACGAATTGTGCTACTATTCCTCAAAACCAGATTACTGGTCTGGGACCATAACACGGGTCAAACCCTTGACCACATACAATATATTTTACAATTTGCAGGAGCTCCTATGAGAACTGTTATTTTTCATTCTTGCTGTTCAGTTCTCACCAGACAATCTAATCCTCACTTCCAAGCCTGCGTCTACAATATGATGTTCTTATGTGGAATTTGAGATTGGCAGGATAGGTAGCTAAAGTGTGAAGAAGCCCTGTCCCTCATCTCAGCAATGATCTGCAGCACAGCATGTGCACACCTAAAATACGGGACCTAAAATATGCCAATGATACTTGGGACAATGGAGCAAACCTTGGCAAAAGAAAAATGTTACCAAAACCTTTTTCCTTTCACAACCTGTAATCTATTATAGTATATAAGGAAGCTTGGTGCAGAAAAGAAAACAAAACAAAAAGAGGGAGAACTGAGGGAGTTTATGAAGCTAGAGGATGGAGAAGAGGAAGAACAGTAAATAGCCACCCCAGCAATTGTTTCTTGATGTGCCAGTGCTGACTGGTTTCAGCCTCCATGAGGCACAGGGTAGAGGAAGCAGCTCTCAGTATATATTTCCTTTCCCTCCCTCTGGCTAAGTTCAAGCTGGCTCCATTCCCCATTCCTATCCTTGTGGGTGCTTCACCAAGATCAAACTTTGGATGTCTGAAGTAGGAAAACATAGGTATTGGCAAGCTGCAATACAGACCAGATTAGAATCAGTGCACGCACGAGGACAGAAGACAAAAATGACTACTGCTCTCTCTGCTCTGCGTCAAAGTCATGGCATACCAGCTCTAATGTGACACAATGACAATGCCCCATTATCTGCTATAACTTGCTAGTTGGACAACAATGAAATGACCAAATTTTTAACTTAATGCTTGATAAAATATCATGATGCTGTTTACCCAAATATAAAATACAGTGAAGGAAATTTAATTAACAAGTCTGAAAACCTTTGACTTTTTAATCAAAATACAAAACAGAACACATTAAAAAACAAAGCATCAGACAAAAATCTAAGTTTTTATGAGACTTCACATTTTGAAATACATAACACATTTTTTTTTTTAAAGATTTTATTTATTTGAGAGAGAGAGAGAGTGAGCAAGAGCAGGGTGGAGGGCAGAGGGAGAAGCAGACCCCCCACTGAGCAAGGAGCCCAATGCGGGACTCTATCCCGAGACTCTAGGATCATGACCTTAGCCGAAGGCAGTCGCCTAACAGACTGAGCCACCGAGGCACCCTTGTAACACATTTTAAATGTTGATGTATATGTGGGTATATGCTCTAAGTTTGAGTCACTGTGGCTAAGTCAGGTCTCAAATATGAAATCAAGGTATTTCCTGATATAGCAAGCCATTGTTCCTACATACTTCAAGGCATCACCTCGTGTGCAGCTTTGGCACTGACATCAGAGCAGAAGAGACTGAAAATCAATAATAAATCAAGCCACAACCATATTCTGGAAAAAAAAAAAAAAAAAAAAAAAGAAAAGGCAAGGGTAGCTTTTAAAAATTTTTAAAGAGGATTCTATAGGTAAAACAATGCCCCATAACATTTTATTGATAAAATGTTATTCTTGATCCCAATATCTATCAAAGCAATAAAATATGTGGGCCTCCATCTAGTTCAAGACTCTAGAAACCAAAACTAAAGTACAAAAATCTGGCCACAATTTTTAACATCTTACTTTGTAAGATACTGAGGTTAGTAGGTGAGCAATATTCTGAACTGCACCATGGTTAAATAAAATTGTTTGATGATCTGGACCCTGTAAGAAAAGAGAATATAACATTAAAAAGAGTAATGATTCATTCCAACAAAACACTTACTTAAATGTAGAAAAGTTCATTTACTACAAATTGTCAGCTGCCCTTCTCTTGCACAAATCCTTCCTAATAAAGCAGGGTAGACAAAGGGCTGCCATTTCTTATGTCATCCCAGTTCTGTAGAACTACTGCTTCCTTACCTACCCCCAAATAATGAAGGGGGCACAGAAGCTATCCTGGCACAGGCCCTTTGCAGTTCTTAAATAACACACCATCACAGCAACAGAACCACTGTGAATTCTGCATTTCATGTGCACAACCTTACACTATGCCACTGGAGAGAGTAGTAGTCATTCTTGCAACTTTAGACTGATGAACTAGTCAGAGGAACTCTAAAACTAATTAAATGCAAGAAGAACTGGACCAGAGCTTAACCTACCTCAATACATCAGGGAAGTTTGAATTATGGATGGTGGAAAACACAACACTCCATACAGAGAAGTGAATGTGTTTTGGTTTCTGTTTCTATCTCATTTCTCTTCTTAAATTACCATTTCTTAGAGTAGGAAGGTAAAGAAATGAGAAAATTCACGATTTTATTTTTCACCAACTGTCTTCTACTAAGCAATTTACTGAAATCTTCTAAGTGACAGAAGCTAAAGGTTAATGCAAGTCTTCGAAATTGCCAGTTTGTATGCATTGATTTTTTAAAAATATTTTTCAATTTTTAAGTAATCTCTATAACCCATTATGGGGCTTGAACTTACAACTCCAAGATCAAGAGTCGAATGTTCTACCAACTGAGCCAGCCAGGTGCCCCTCTTACGCAATGATTTTATGTACTACCCGCCCACATAATGAAGTCAAAGCAAGGATAAGGATGCTACTTCATGCTTATCATTATTCAGAAGAGAAAAACACAGCACTGAAAGTTGGCTACCTATCTGGGTTCACCAGAGAAAACCAGTTGCTAGTCTAGAAAAAAAACCCTCTCCAATCAATTTTTCCAACCCACTATTCAGCCAAGTAACAATGATCCTGAAGATGCTTATTCTTTCCTGGACCAAAATATCCATCATCTGAAGTGGGGAGATCAGTATTCATAGTTCTGAATCAGAAAACAGCTATATTCTATTTTATAGGTAGTAATTCCCTGAACATTTTATATAGCATTAAAAGGCTCCTTTAAAAAACAAAAACACTTCAGCAATTTCCTTACTAACTTCTAATTTCTGATTTTTTAAAAAAGATTTTATTTATTTGATAGAGAGAGACAGCGTGAGAGGGAACACAAGCAGGGGGAGTGGGAGAGGGAGAAGCAGGCTTCCGGCTGCACAGGGAGCCCGATGTGGGGCTCGATCCCAGGACCCTGGGATCATGACCTGAGCTGAAGGCAGACGCTTAATGACTGAGACACCCAGGCGCCCCTAATTTCTGATTTTCGATGCAAAATGTTCCACACTTTACTCAGGCAAACCCCCATTACATATATTAGGCAGTTTCTAATGTCTCACTATTAAAAACAATGTTCTGTTGAACATTAGTAAAGCCAGCCCCATCTCAGTGCAAACTCTTAGAGTATGAGGATAAATTTCTTGCATACACTGCTTGATATATTTATCCCTACATATCCACCCAGAATAATGCAGGCTTGCTTTCAGAACAACTAAAGATACTGACATTCTCAGGGCACAGGCTGGAAGTATGCTCTTTATCTTCCTACCTCATCTTCATCCATGCATCTGGAATTCTAATCATAGGTACTAATTATTGGGTACTTGCTATGTGCTGGGCACTGCTTTAAATGCTTTACTTGAATTGTCTCATTTGAAACATGAGTCTCCAGCTTATTCAATATAAAGATAGTTGTGGAGACTATAATGGGGAGCCCAGGAAAAGAAGGGTCTCCTAAGAATATGACCTATTTTTTTTCTTACGTAGTATCAAGTAGGTAATTAGAATAAATTGTGAAGATAAGCCTAAATTACACTAGGCTGACATACTAAGGTGTTTTTTTTTTTGCCTTCCATATAAATTTTAACATCCTAATTTAAATATTGGCAGTGTTTACGAGAATAGCTAAGTAGACAGGGTACTTACTGCCTCTACCCTTGCACCTCACGGCTCTTCTGTCTCTGTATTTCTCTCTGTTCCTCTGCTTTGAAGTGACCTAATACTAATAGATTGTTTTATATTCTTCAAGCTTTACATACATATACAAATACCTAAGTATATCCTTTCCCCTATTTTAACACAAATGGTAGAATACTACATATATGTGCTATATATACTATACATATACTATACATATTGCTTCAAACCTTTTATTCCTTTATACTATTTCCCAGAAATCATTCATATGCATACATAAAGAGCTTTCTTATTTCTTTTTTGACCTTATTCCGCTGTATGGATAACCCATACTTTAGTACCCTATGGTTAGACATTTAGATTGTTTATAATCTTTTACTATTACAAACATCACTTCAATAAATATCCATGTGCATGCATCTTTAAAAGCTAGATCACTTATGGAATATCTGTACTGATGAACTTATATTATGAAAAAGATCAAGCACAATGCAATTCATTTAACATAACTGTTCCCTGCCTCTTACAAGATAATGTAGTTTTTAATCTCTCAATTTCTTTGCCCCAGAGATTACAGGAAATAATTATTACAAAAGAAGCTCTTCCTCATCCTCTCTGTGGTTGTACATAGGATTGTGTAAAAACAATTGCAAGGAATGGAATTTTTGGCTGAACCAACTAGAGAAGGAGCTATCATTTGATTCTTATCAAGTCTCCCTTAGGTCTCTTCAAATAAACCCACATGGACCTGGGCTAGAGAGGCAACATCCATAGGGTGGGAAGCAAATAAGCCCTCAAGATTTTAAACTCCAAAAGACAGGTCTCAGAAGTTTGATTAACCTGTTTAAGAAGTGGCAACAATTTAATATTACTAGTCTTTTTTTTTTTTTCTCCCTAATAAATCAGGGAGAGAATTTCAAAGATATAATCAGGATTATATTAGTACTTAAGTTTTAGGGGAGTCAAAAGGTATATGCCTATTTTTGACTGAGCAGGGTCTGGCACCTTGACCCTCGCCTTGTCCAAGGGTCAAATGTATATGCAAAGTTGTGAATGAGTCTGAAAATTCTATTATAAATCTTATTTTAAGCCTATATGCAAATTGAACAGCATGAAAATAAAAGGTTTTTATGGTTAATAACTATACAGAGATCATCAGATTAATTGTTTTCAAAGATTCATGCTGGTAAATTAGTAGAAAAATTAATATTAGGCTATTGTCACTGGTTTTATAAATGCTATAATATTTCCTAACGTTTAGTTATATCTCAGAACACTTAAAATTGGTCATTTAATTACAGTGGCAAATGCTAATTACCAGGCTAAAAGAAATCTGAGTTAAGGTGATTTGCTCTGATAACATCTTCAGCTCTGTTAGTGGCATGAAGATGCCTATAAATTCTTGCTCAGCATAAGATTCTCTCCATTAGTTCTTTTGAACTAATGATTTAATGGTTTTCTTTTATCCATGATTTCAGCTAAAAAGTACTGAGAAGTTTTAGATGAGCAAGCCTAAAGGGATTTAGAAGTTTCTGATGAGTAATTCTAAAAGCTATTTGGGTAACTTCTGGAATGGGATTATTCAAACTTCTCATAATGTAACATAATAATTTGACATGTAGTAATTATACCTCCAGGTCCAATTTTCAGTGTCCCTTTGGGATTACTGTGGTTGTAACTATTAGATGTTGTGCTCTGAAGCACTTAGGTATAGACACAGAAAGATTTTTAATGAGGCACAGGAGTTCTGGAGTATCCTCCTTTATCTACCTGCCAGGGCTGGGTTACAAGACTTCACTGTTGGAAAATTCTACACCCTATTAAGTTCAGCTCATTTTTAGCAAATGAATTGCAACAAAATTGTCAGTTTCTCAAAGCCTTTCTTTGCCTACTTCAAAAGATTAAGGGAGTGTTTGACATCCCTGGACCTACGAGTTGACTTACACACGGTCAAGGCAATCTGGGAAGAGAAACTTCAAAGATTTTTGACAAAATCCTTAAATTCTAAACGTCTTAATGGACTGAATAGGCTGTGAAAGCCTGCTAGGATTTGGGAGGTAAGAGTTAAACAATTAAATTATAATAATACTTTTTCTGGAACCAAGTGATTTAATTTTCATTTATTTGGGCAACTGTTCTAAAATAGCGTACATGTGTGATCTTCCTGGTTTCATATGTAGGTGTTCACTTCTCTTTCCTTTATTTTCTATAGTTCCCCAAACTCTTCAGTTTATCTTTGTATTATAAATATAGGTAGATGAGTAATGCTGTCCTGAAAAATTTATAGAATCATTAGAAGATAAACATTTGGTTAGAAATTGGCAAATGTGCAGAAATTTTGAAAGATCTCAAATACATAATCACCCATGGCTATCAAAAGACTACACTCAGTATGTAAACTATGAAACAAAGGATGTAGCACTTTGCAGCACTCTTCAGTTTAGGTTGAGGCCCTTTTAGGAACAGAAATTTCTCTCAACAAAGAGCAGAGAAGAATCTCTCATTTTTCCTTATAGGAGATCACTTAAAACAATTTCCAACAATGAGGGTGTGGGGAAATAGTTTTGATCACACACTGCTGGTAGGAGTATAAAAGGGCACAACCTCTATACAAGACAGTAGGTGGTAAGATTACAAATGCACACATTCTTTGACTCAGCAATGTCATTTCTTATAAAATGTCTTACACAAGGTATTTTTGCAGCATTGTTTTGTAATAATGTGAGACTGGAAACAAGGCAAATGTCCAACAGTAGAGAACTGGTTAAACAAATTATTGTATATCTATATAGTAAAATACTATACAGCTGTTGAAAAAAAAAAAGGGAACTCCTTATGTACTAATATGGAATAGCTTTCAAGATACGTTAAATGAAAAATGCAAGGTACAGGACTTAATGTATGGAATGCTACCATTTGTGTCCAAAAAGGAGAAGGGGATATATACATAGGTCTGCTTATATATAAAAACAGGGGAGGGGGGAGAATATACATAGGTCTGCATAATTATATATGTACAGGTTTTCTCTGGGAGGACACACAAAGAAGGCACATCTCCTGGGGGCACAGAAGATTTTACATTACGGAGAACATTTATTCTGGTTCTTACTTTACAGCAGTGTGAGAAGATCTGACAGATGTACTCCTGGGTGTAGCGGGACCTGCTAAGTAGTGCCATGAGGTGTGGTATCACTGTGGCATCCTGGAGTCGAAGGAAAAGAGAGCACAGCAACAAGGAACTTAGGCACTGTGAATACATCTAACAAACTATTTCCATGAGGAGGTACATACGCAAGCTTCTTAACTTAATCACAGTAAATCAAGTCTCTTTAAAGAACACAGCAAAACAAAAACAAGAGAGTCACCCAAATTGTTTAGGTAAAGGACGAGGGGCTTCAATATTCATCCCCAACAACAAAATACCAGAATGAGAAATTCTCAATCTCTCTCTCATAAACAGCCTATATCCCCACAATAAGACAAAATCATTTCAAAAGACTTGACAGAAATCTGTTGTGAAACCAAATGTGACCTGATAAGATATATAATAACAAATAGCCTATAAGGAGGAATTACTGTATAAAAATAAAACTTGACAGTTTTGATATCTGAGATGTTGTGGTAAGTATCAGTTACTCGTAAGAATCATAAGACTATAGTTAGCTAATTTCAATTTTCACAAGATAATTTGCAAAATATCAACTCCTCACTTAGAGCACGTTCTCTGCCTACTGCTGAAACTTAGCAATATACAAGTTGGTGCAGTAGGAGAGAGGAGAATCTGCCCAATTTGCTGCAGGGCTCTCCAAGAATCCCCTTCTTCTTAGGGTACAAAGGGAATTAAAAGTTGATCTGAACCACAGATGGAAAAGAAGACTTAGCTCAAGCCTCCTAGTCAATGCTGTCATAGTCCCAGAGTTATACTTCTCAAATATGAATGTGCATGCAAATTCCCAGGGGATAGTCATTATGTATAGATTTTGATGTCTATAGGTTTGGAGTAAGATCTAAGCTCCCAGATAAGGCTGATGCTGCTGGTCCATAGACCACACTTTGACAAAAGACAAAAGAGGGCAAGGAAGGAAACTTAAGAGTACCACTGTTGGGATGAACAAGATTTGGGGTTTCCCTTACAAAGAAAAGAATGCCCAAAATCTTTAAGAGCCAAGTGAGAAAACAGAAGGCAGTTGATTCCCTCTAAGTAGAATCTTTCCCTTTGCTTATTAGTATAACCCTTTGTGTTATCACAAGCAGTTTAAAAACAAAATGAAAAATTTAGAAAACCCCAAAGAAAGTCAGGTACTAAATGTATAGAAAGAAAAGAGAGATGAGAATGTCAAGTACATGTCTATTTCATAGAGTGGGGAGGGGAAACTGATTCCATTGGCAGAAGACAGGGAAGCAGGTAGCAGCTAAGAAAGAACAGGCAATTGAAGGATGATATGAAAGCTTCTATTAACCTCCTGCAATTACTTCCACCTCCTTTCTTTCCTCCATTGCTCTCTCACCTCTCAGTTTTCCTGTAATAACAGCTTCATCCCATTTCTTCACACCTGCCCCTTTCTGCCAATTGTCTTATAGATCTACAATTTATAGTTGATTAAACAAAGCAAAGAACAGTTACATAATTTGCCCAAAGTCACCCAACTGATAAATAGGATTTCAAACTAGACATCCTACCTTCTTGTAAGTGGACTGCCCTGTTTTCAGTTTAGTGCCTAAGTTGCTGTGCCAGCTGGCTCTATACAGTCCAACTCACAGATGGCAGTTAATTACACTAAAACACTACTCTCTGTCATCATCCCATCCAACATTCTTCACAGAGTCACCATTGTCTCTGAGGCATAAAACAGACATTGTCACTGTGAAAGTCACTTAATGTCCCTGGGTCTTAAATTTTCTTATGTAAAAAAGTTAAGTTGGTGTAGACTAGTTTTCAAAATTATGTACCGTGAACCATTAGTGGGCCATAAAATCATTTTGGAAAGCAAGGAGAAAGGAGTTAAAACTGTTGGCCAGGAGCAATTTCTCACTTACTGGGCTAGGGGTTGGAGAGTAACTTCTAGGTTAAAGACAGGTGATTGGTTTAATCTCTTTGTAAACATCACAATAGGACTTTCAGAGAAACAGACTGATACTTACTAGGAGAGTCCTTCTCTGTATAAAGCTTTGAGGAGGATGTCCCCAATTTAGGACTGCTTACAATAAACCAGTGGTCCTCATAGAGCGGTCCATGGACCAGTAGCCTCTGAGTTACCTGGAAACTTGTTAGAAAAGCAAATTCTCAGGCCCTACCCCAGACTCAATGACTCAAAAAGTCTGGCAGGAGGCTCCAGCAATCTGTGCTTAATAAACCGTCCAGCTAATCGTGGTCCATGCTCAATTCTGAGAACTGTTGTAGTGAACAATACCAATTTATATGGCATCGCTCCCTGAAGAATACTGCACAAATCCCTGAGGTGTAAAATTGAGATGTTTCATAATTTAGAGCCTCCCTGCTGTGTAAAGTGACCCATGAACCTCACTTACAGACTTAATGTACCATTATGGGCCAGAGGGGCATGTATCTGATGTGGGGAGGATGGACTGTGGAGACTCATGATATGCCCCCACCCCCGCTTCCACTGCCTATGCCTCCTGATTGCTTATGCTCTTGAAATATTTGTAAAATGTGATTCTAGATAAGATCTCTGACTTATGTATGTCCTATCTGACACTGTGATTCTTTGTGTTGGCTCACAACCAGCCATTTTTCTAAAAATGAGAAAGGAAGGATAGACTAGTAACCAGAGGGTATCACATTTGTGGAACTGTTTTTGAAGACTGTCTCAGGAATATTCTTACACACACACACACACACACACATACACACTGTGTGGCAATGGAAAATGTATTTCTTATCATGGACTGCAGATGAGAGAGTTTGAAAAACACTGGCCTGGATAATGTTCATTAAGATAGTCCCATGTAATCAATAGATTAAAAGGCCTGCTAGTAATCCCTAAGGTTTTTTAAAACTACTGAATGACTCCAAAGATCTCTGGATTCTCTCACACATATTCTCGGATTCTAGCCTGGCAAGTAAGCCTCCTACAAGCCATTTCTGGTTCACTTTTTCTGTTGAAACAAACACTGATGCCCTTCCCACATTAGCCTATTCTGCCCACTGTCCTGCACCCTTTCTCTTACACAGATCTTTCTTAGAATGGCCTCTTTCCTCTCCACTTCTCTAAATGTTATCCATTATTTAAGATCCAGGTCAAATTCTCTGTAAAGCCTACTCTGCTGGATTTAACCTAAAGTGAGTACATTAAATATACTGCCTTAATTTGATATTAAGAGATCAAAATGGGTCTTTTTTAAAATTTTTTTTGAAGATTTTATTTATTTATTTGACAGAGAGAGACAGAGTGAGAGAGGGAACACAAGCAGGGGGAGTGAGAGAGGGAGAAGCAGGCTTCCCGCTGAGCAGGGAGCCCGATGCGGGGCTCGATCCCAGGACCCTGGGATCATAACCTGAGCCGAAGGCAGACCTTAACGACTGAGCCACCCAGGAGCCCCATGGGTCTTTTTTTTTTAAACAGCTTATAAATTCCTCAAGGTCTGATACTATCTTTCACTTCTTTATAATACCTAGAACACTTGATATTTGCAAATTAGCATGCTAGAACTGAAATACTTCTTGAGACTTCTCTGTAACACAGCTATGATGAGTTTTGAGATGCTGAGTAAAGTAGAGGTATGCTGTTAGTGAAATGTAACCGATGATTCAAAAACTTCTAAAACTCACTGTATACAGTAGCTCCTCTGGAGTGACGGGACTGGTGAAGATGGTGCGCAGGCATCGGAGACAAGCTTCAATGAACTTCAGGTCTGGAGATAGTAGTCCTATTAATAGAAAATGGACCTGAGACTCATCCTTTCAGTCCGTATTTTAAACACTACAAACGGATTCTAATTTTTACTTGTACAAAAATGACTTCCTTACATACCTTGCAGTAAGGCAGGGATAATATGGCAATCTAGAAGAGACTTGACATTGTTTTCAGTACCCATAGCAAGACTTCCCAATACCACTGCACATTCAGTTTTCAGCTCTATACTTGAGGTTTCTTGCTGAAGCAAGTACAACAATCTAAAAAGAAGGAATTTGATAAACAGAGGAGACAAAACAATTAAACAAAAGTAAATTAGCTAAAAGTAATGTGACAGAAAAATGCTACCAATATATCCCACTAAAAATATGGTTGGTGAGCTAATAGAAAGTTAGGAAATGATCATTTGTTTATATCAGCTACTAATTTAAAAAAGGAATATTTGGGTAAAAAAAATCAAAAGAGACTTTCTTCATTTTGAACAAAAGGACTATTATGTATAATCTTAGAGTTTATCAGAACTATTATTCTGGAAGTTGTCCACAAGTAACAAAACAGCACAACAGTCCATGTTATCTGCCACTCCAGGATATCAAGACTCAGAACATTCAATGCCAAGTACTGTCGGATCTTAAATTTAGACTTAGAAAGGGACCTGCACTATCCAGAGGTACGGTTCAGAGATCACAGACGTTTAGCCTAGAGGGAACATTCAGAATCCTTGTGCAGCTCTTCAAGCAAGGGAAACTCATCTTTCTCCAATTTTCCCATTTGGGGAATCAGGAGATCCTCCCATTTCCACTCCAGCCCTGCCTACTGAGCAACTACTCCCCAAACTCTAATCATCCACCACTTATGACCACCTCCTTTATGTTTTAAGGTAGAACACTCATGCTCCTTAAAGTACATTTATATACACTGAACACTAATCCCCTAAGAAAGGCTACTGAGAGCTTTATGGTTACCAAAGTATATATTTAAGATCAGTTAACGATAAAAACAATAAAACCATCAATCCTGTATCAAAAGACAGAAATGAAGAAAAAGAAAAACCAAAACATTAAAAAACTTATAGCAACTGCACATAAAACTTAGTTCTGAGTAGCAAAGAGAAAGTTATACAACTATCATCGTCTACCAGAAAGAAATTCAGTTCATCAGAAAAAAGACCAAACTTTCTAAGTTAAAAAACAGCAAATTCTAAAAATTAGAAATTAAAAAAAGAAAAGCAGGATTAAAAATCTAGCAGGATTTTTTTTTTTAATTAAAAAAGGTTTTGAGATTCCTAAGAAATTATTATTCAATCATACAAAACTGCCAAGGCGGGACATCTGGGTGGCTCAGTCGGTTAAATGTCTGCCTTCGACTCAGGTCATGATCCCAATGCCCTGGGATCGAGTCCAGCATCGGGCTCCTTGCTTAGCGGGTAGCCTGCTTCTCCCTCTGCCTGCCACTCCCCCTGCTTGTGCACGCACGTGCGCTCTCTCTCTCTCTCTGATAAATAAAATCTTTAAAAAAACCAAAAAACAAAAAAACCGGCCAAGGCTCTGAGGAGATAAAGAATCAGGCTGGTGTATATCATCTATCTACCCAACACATCCTTTTATTGCAGGGTTAATGATCTTACCCTGAATTTCCAAAAAGCATTAATACATTTGCTTTATATTCCATTCTCCGGTACTTAAAAATTTCTAAAGAGATGCTTCATATATCTCAAAGCATTTATTTTAAAAATTAAGAGGCTTTCAAAAATAGGATAGACAATACAGAAAAAAGATGGGTCTTATGGATGAGAATGAGAAATATATTAGGAACAGTATGAATATCAGAAAAGGGATTGATAGCAAACATACCTTGGAACAGCTCCTAAAACAATGAGATTGGCTTTCTGCTTGTTGTTTCCAATTACAGCATTTTTCATGTCTCTGAATTCAGGGGAAGAGAAAAGGGTAAGGTACGTTGAGACATCACAGAAAAATCAGTAATCAATTCATTCCGCTGTATCTTTATTATGCAACATCTTGTACTGGCAAATATAGAAGTTAGTGACAAAGTCAAATCCACCTGAGTACCAAAGAGAAGGAACAGAGATAGGTGCTGAATGAGCCTGGGAGCTGTAAAACAGGACAGTGTGGGAGTGGGGAAAGTGGGAGATACCCTGAGTACTTGTAGAAGACTTCCAATAAAAAGCATGTTGAGTTCTTCAGAAAAGGCCCACACAATGTATCTGACCTTGTTTCAGCGATCATGACTTTGTTCCTTTCTTTCCTCTTTTTCTGACTTCTTTGAACTGAATATTTCTTATAATTCCATATTATCTCCTTTACTGCCTTATTAGCTGTGCCTCTTTGAATTTTTATTGTTTTTTTAGTGGTTGTTTTACAATTTACAATATGTATCTTTTAACTTATCACAGTTAGTCTTCAAGGGATAGTATCTCATTTCATTTGTATTTTAAGAGTCTTGCAAACATATACTTCCATTTCTCCATCAATTCTTTGTGCTATTACTGTCATATATATTTTATTTTTTAATTGGTTAGAAATAACAATACAGTTACTATTTTTTACTTAAGCAGCCAATTACCTTTTAAAGAGATTAAAAAATAAGAAAAAAACCTTTTCTATTTCTCACATATTCACCAGTATTTTTTATTCCAGCTATACTCAGATCAGGAGTAAAATGCTATTCCACAAGAAGAATATCTCTATGAATGACCAACTGGTTCACAAACACTGATTGGTCCCAAAGGACAGATAGAGAAAAAATAAATGGCTCAAAATAAACCTAGTACTACTAATAAAATGATTAATAAGAAATACTTACCCTAATTGGTCAGTAGTGCTATCTTAATGTAAAACACTAGAACACTATGTGATTCTATATAGCAGTGGTTCTCAAAGTGGGGAAGAAAGCATTAAAGCCCCATAGGGGCATTTCAGAAGTTTATGAGGGTGTCTGGAAATTCTGGCCACAGTTTTACAATTAGAAAGCGTTTTTGTACAGTTTTAAAGAAAACTGTATTTTTCAGTATTGCATCTGGCCCTGTAAATAAAAAAAGGAAATTGCATTTTTTATTAGAAATCATTTCATTTTGGAAAATCAGACCACCCAGCACAGGGGCCACTCCCAGTACTGGAGTTATCAATACCAAACACTTACATACGGAAACATTATAAATTATCTTTAAAAAGATAATTTTTAAATTTTTAAAAAATTTTTAAAAAGATAATTTTTCTCCCTTATAAGCACGGAAGGCGTTATATTAGTTTTGGAGTTATGTATGTGAGGAGTTATATTATGATAGATTTAATTTCAAGGTAGTACAGTGGTCATTAAGAAATATTTATGGGGGGGGAGTCAGGTTTGACTGTGTTAAGACCATCGCTACAGAGCCTCAAAGTTCTTAGTTCACACATTTCTTTCATATCCCAAAATAAGTTCCCCTACATTCTCACACGCATCTCTTCTGACTCTTTTAGGTGGCAGCAGTCTAACGTATATGGGAAATTTTTTGCCAACTTTGAAACTTAGAATTCTAAAAAATTCTATTATTGGCAAACCATGATCTTGTAGAAAAACAAAGTAGAAAACAGGAGAAAGAGTTACTTTAAAAAATCAAAACTAAATGTTAGAGTCAGCATGTGTTTCCAATACCAACCAAATTCACTGGCGTTAAAAACCCTGGTAATAATTATAATGCCCTTTCTCCTTAATTACCTTCTTCAATTATGGCAGAAGAATACTGCTATGATGCAGTGATCTGATGAAAGCTGATTCTCGCCACAAGTTTTTGAATGGCATTTTCACAAGTTTTGAGCCAAATACTATTGGCCTAGTCTTCCAGTAGCTCAGTGGAGCTGAGGGTAGGTCTATTTTTTTCAGGGCCTGATCTAGTTCTCTCTGTAAACTATCACTCAGATCTTCCATATGGTTCACAGGGGATAAGTAGGAGTATTTTTTCATTTATGGGGACTTAGCTGAATGAAGCTTACTAGGGTTTTGACCAAGTTTTGATAGACAACTATAAAATTATGTGATATCAAAGCCTCATTTAGCAAAGCATAGTAGGTGAAACTATACATCTAGGCTTCTGCCTCCTTATACAAATTTACTTCCCAATCATCAGCTTATAGACCCTAACTTAGCAGTTTGCCATTTATTTTCATCTTCTTTCCTTCTCTTAATGTGTTTTGTCTATACTAATGTAGCACATCCATTTGTCCAGCAGCTATCTATTGAAAGTCTATTTTGTGCCAGGTGCCATTCTGGATGCTCTCTCTATTCTGGAACTCCCAACAGGAACATTTCCCGAGATTTCTCTCCATTCTTCCTAAACTAAGCAAAAATGAGGTGTCCCCACATTACCTTATAAACACGTTCCAAATATCTGAAGCCATGCAAAAGTAAATGTTTTTATAGACAAAAACAAACAAAAACCCCTCCAAAACCAATTTTCCAGTTCTCTTAATAGTTTGCAAAGAAGACATGAAGGAGGCAATTGGTAGTTATAGAGTAAATGCAGAAGAGAATTAATAAAATGGACCAATGTCTAAAGAAATTAATTCTTGCTGTGGTTCTAATAAATAAAATGTATTAATGCTACATAAGAAAGAAGAGACGTTAACACCCCCAGCAAATAAATTCTATTCAGTTGTTACTATAAAGGGATACTAGATCATTTCTATGAAACAGTTACAGCCAAAAGAGATAATAATCATCACATACACCCATCTTTAGCAGATCTAAATATGGTATAGGATTCAATTTCAGAGCCAGCCAGAGTGGAGCTATTCTCTCCCTCTCTCTCTCATTTCCTTATCCCCTCCCCCTCATACTTTTCCCTGGCTACCTTTACTCATCTTTCAGGTCTGACCTTAGATAATAATTTCACTTCCTCCAGGAAGCTTGCCCTGACAACTTCCAGGTCTGGGTTAGGTGTCCCAGCTAGCTGCCCTCTATCATAGCACACTCATTACTTTGTTAGGATAGAAGTCTGTTTCCTCTTGACAGGCAAGAAAGCCAGTCTGACCTGAAAATATCAGAGAACTTACTATTGATGGATCACAACATGCACCATATAGAAATCCATACTTCTGTAAAATACAGACTCATAACTATCATCCAAGATGGGGGCACAACAAAATTATGCAAAACTTATATATTGCTTTGAAGTTTACAAAGCATTCCATATCCACTACTTTATGTAATCTTCATCATAACCTTGAGTAATATTAACCCCATTTTACCGATGAGGAAGCTAAGACTCAGGTTCGGGGCTTTTCTCAGAGCTCCACATTAAATGACAGAGCCAGTTTCAACCCATGTCTTTTATGCCAAGTGTTTTTTCCATTACCTCCAGCATATCAGGCATTCAGAACAAACTGATTGAAAAGAAGTGAGCTAACATATTTCCTTTTTCCTCCCATGTTTCAATTTTACATTTTTATGCAAAATGAAAAAGCATTTCTAACTTTCAATTAAAAACATCCTTTTCCCAGTAGATCAAAGGAATATATCTCATATCTACCAACTTTTAATGTTAGAGGGAAAAAATGCCTTACTTATATACTCCTGAAATTCAACAATTAAGTTTTGAGCTCAGCACTGTGTTAGGCTCTATGAAGGATACAAAAGCATCACATAATGGGATGCTTGAAGAGTTTACAATCTCCTTGAGGAGATAAAAATAACACTAGCAATGTAAGGCAGTGCTATATTATAAATCGAGTGCTTATATGGCTGAGATAAGTAGATGATCAGACAAGCTTAACAGGTTTTGAAGCAATGGTAGAACTAAATGAACCTTAGAAAATGGCCAGGATTTGGACAGTGAATGGGAAGGGCAAATGGAAAAGCCATTCATAGAAGACAATACTGGAAATGAATACATCATATTTCTGAGGCAGGACCAGGAGCCTGGATTGAAAAGAAGTGTCCCTTTAAGGTGGGAACATTAAGCAGAGCATAGAAAAAGTGATAGGAAGAAGAGACAAACTAAAGGGGGATGGATAAAGGAGCAGTCATGTTTCCAACAGAAAAAGGATATGAAGAAAGCAGTGACTAAGGAAGACAAAATGAATATGGGATGGACGGGAATGCAGAGAATACTAGAGTCAAGAGAGGCAAATAAATAGCTGATGCCTTTCCTCTGTGGTCCTAAGACTGCCCTGGGCTTATGACTATCATAGCATTCACTAACCAAACTATAATGGACTATCTATTTAGCTATGTGATTCCTTCATTAGACTTTTGGATCCTCCAGAGCAGTGACTACATTATTCATTCTTACATACTCTTACCCCATCACAATGCTTATTAGCACGCTATAGGCACTCAATAAATGTTTGCTGAAGGAATTATGCAATCCATCCAGGTATCTAGTTATGTGAGACTGACTAGGATGGCAGCCACAGGAATCACTAAGACAGAAGACATTCTGAGGAAGCAGTTAACAAGATGATTTGATGGTTATAGGATATGTGATATGTGACATGTCTTGAGTGACTACTTCAAGTCTGAGTTCCTAGATGCAGAAGACCAGGAAGCTTAGAAAATAAATCCCTTAACAAGACAAGGATCTATCTTGATTTTGGACACATGAATAATCTTTCAGGTAAGATAAAAACACCCAGGTGGAAAAGCTAAAAAGTAAGCCTTGGGGATATCCCACTCTAGGGATGGGAGAAGAAGCCAATATTAAGATGTTATAAAAATGAATTTGCCACAGAACATTCTCAGTTAAAATCTAGCTAAAAACTTTTATTTGTCCACTAATAAATGGACTCAAGAGGCATCTACTTTCACATGGAGGCTAACCTTTCTACTTCCTTTCTTTACTCTGAAAGAGATTAATTTTCAGTGGGTAGAGAAAAAGGCTCAACTATTAAACCAACATGTACACAGTGCCTACCAGAACTTCTAT